TCGTTCCGGCCTGTTCAAATCTTCCCGCTCGTTGGCGATCAAGTACGCGTCTTGCAGTTATCACCATTACCATCATCAAAGGCCAATTATTCATATGTTATTATTATTTGTCATTCTATGAACTATTTAACGTTGTTGTATTTTTCTAATATATTTATTCAATACAATACCTATCTGAGTGATTTGTAAGGACTCAGTCATTAGGGTTTAACGGTACATTAAGAGCTCTTTCGGTGAACACTCCTCGTATAATATTAACACCAGTACGAAGAATACTATTGCTATGGTTTATAAATGAGTTATCATAATGACGTCTTTTGTTTTTCTCTCATACGCAGAGTTGTGGAAAAACGATAATCTTCGATTCATCGCTACATCGATAAATCGATAGAGAATTGAGATATGAAATTTTATAGGAACCAGTATATCGATATAAATTTATAGATTAATATAATAATTAGATATTATATATTTAAACAATTTTCAAATTACATATTTACAATTTATAAGTTAAAAAATTTAGAATATTAGAACCAAAACTAATCATCTATAGATTGTTGAAATACAAGTTTTTTATACTTATCGGTTTTTTTTACCTAATCTTTGTTTTTTATAAAGATTTTCTAATGTAGACCACAATATTCTGTTTTTATCAGTTTCTTTTTTACTTTCAGTAACTAAATGGTTTTTTAAATGCTGAACACCACCATTCGGCGTTTTGTAAACTTTTGTACTTATACACTTATATAAATATTAATTTACTTAAGCAAAATATTGTAAAATACGTGAAGAACTCCACCTTGAAATTTCACTTTTATAATTTATAATTAAGCTCAATTTCAAAATTATTTTTTTTAAATAAATAAATAATATTGAAAATTTCAAAATCTCAGCGATATATTTTCCACGCATAAATAATTAATTATCTATAATTACTAATAGACGATTGATGACAGCCAGACACTGTAAATTGTAAATATTATATATTTTATATTTTATTGCCTATATTTCATTCGACTATATCTTAGTTTAACTTCTGTCTATGGTTCACTCATTGTCGTTGAGAATTTAAGGAATTTTGTTCTGAAAACTATCGTTGAGGTCGGCGTAATATACCTAGTGTCTATAACATTAACAATTACGTTAATTCAATAGCCGATAATCGAAGTAATTATAAAGACATTTCAATAACATAATAACATTGAAAGAGTGAATAAAAATAATATATATGTCGATATGATATTTTCGATATTATCAAATAATAATATCGATGTTTTTTGTACATCCCTTCTCTTACGTTCAGGAGTGATAACCTTTTATTATTAAATTTAATTATTTTATTGACGTTTGTATTACACTCACATAATACTAGCGTATTCAAATCCTTCAATGATGGAAGCAGAGCTTTTATATTATTATAAAATGTATGTTGTTTTTAAATATGGGTTTATTTAACACACTATATGATTAATTTCTTTCTCAGATAATACCTTAAATATGGTTTATACATACGGAAAAAAAGTACTTTTTCAAGATTAGGTATTTTAAAACCTTGACATCAAAAAGATAAAATAAATAACAATATATATACCGTATTCTAGATTATCAGAAAATCTCGAAGCTTAGTATTTTTTTTTATCGTATTTGGTATATTCTTAGTAGATGAAAGTGTTCTATATTGTATAAAGGTGGTCCCACACCACTAATCATAAGTAATCACAAGTGTAGGGATGAGTGACTATTCCGATTAATTGCACTATCTTCGAAAAGACTTACCATACTAATTAAAAGTGTAGCCGAGTAAGAGCTATTATGAGTATTCACAAAGTTTAGCAATTAACGAATCTCATGTCTCACATTAATTGGTTAACTGTCTGATTATTATTGATCATTCTCGATTATTCCCGAGAAACGTTGGAATTACCTCAATTGTGTACGAGTGCTATTTGGCTCGCTTTGACTCGAAACAGTTTACCGTCTTCTGAGCGATCAACTACAGGTACCATCACAAGTTACATAATTAAAGCAAGTATCTAATTCCACATTACTGGCGAGAATTAACAATTAATTTAATTTAACTAGTTTAACAATAATAGTGAAAAATAGTCTAGAATGAATGATGTTCACGTAGAGAAAAAAATGTTTGAGAAACAATAGCTACTTTACGCACTGTTGTTTTCAATAACATAATTAGATAGGCAATACGATGAAGTGGACATTTAAAGGCCAATACATTTTCAAAATGTTATCAATTTAATTCGGTGATAAATAATAACTTTAATGTTAATTAAGACGAATTTGTGACAAAATGTAATTAAAATAAATATTATAAAAATTGTTTTGAGTTTTTCATGCTAAAATAAATAAATTGAAAGTTTTTATTTTTTTATTTTTATTTGGACACTGAAAATCCAATAATTTTCCTCGAATTGGAAGTCAATTCTTTAAAAGATAATCTAATTACTAATTAAATGGATTGTATAAATATTGTGTTTTAAAAATTTCTGGCGAAATTGCAGCTTATTATTTTAATGTTGTTTATGACAAATTAAGTACTGATTTATTTCTAGTGAAGGTATTTGAAATAATAAATCATCGAAAAACGTAGTAATTACTTTTAATATTGCTATAATATTTTGGCTTTTCGTTTTGTTCACATATTGGTAATATTTATTTCTACAATTGCAATTAATATGCTCAAAATTAAAAATAATTTTCAAAAATATTACATAATAAAAAATGAAGATATTCCTATGTATATTAAATTGAAAGGATAAAAAAAAAATTCTACATCTATTATTTATTTGTGAAAACGTTCAAGATTTTTGAATAGTTGTATGCATCTACGAAATATTGAAATGAATAATCGGTAACAGTCAAAAACGTTCATAAATATTTTAATTTCAAAATTAATTATTGATAAGAGTTTTATAAAAGCTTCATTTGAATCCGTTAATACATTTCACATTTTTCAGTTAATGTTATCATTTTCTTCAAAAACAGTGAAAAATGTAATAAATTATCTCCAAGAAGTAGTAATATTTCAAATGCATTGATTAAGTCTCATGAAAACATTTAGTTTGTGGAACGATCTTTGAGTTTGTGAAAAATTTCTGGAGAAAATATATATGTATGACTAGGGTTACCACCATACATCCCAGAAAATCGGTATTGTCACTGTTTTTAGACTTCGTGTCCCGATGTCCCGAAAAATGTTTACAGGATGTCCATATGTCCCGGCTTAAACGTCTAGAGGAAATGTAGTATTGTTTAATTTTTAATTTCGACCAGTTTATCTTAAAGTACATTTTTAATTGTAATAGATTATAATATATAATAAAAACATAATTTGTAATTTACACATATAATACATTTTATTTTACAAAAAGATTTTTAAATATTATATTGCCGACTATTAACGGTCCTCTTTAGTGACGTATACGTAACTTTTGTATGAGGGGAGGACGATCATTTGCAAACAAATCATTATTTTTATTTTATCATTATTTTTTTTACATTTCTAATGCCCTCACACTAAGAACATTATTTTATAACATTTTAAAAAGGCCTAGGGTATCTGACCCCCGCATCACCCCCTTGTATACCTACATCAATGGTCCTCTAAATATATTAAAAGTTACATAAAAAGTATAATATTCAATAATTTGTTTGTTTTGTCCCGGTTTCGCCTCATAAATTTATGGCAACCCTATGTATGACCAAATAACTTATTATTATTATTATTATTTTTCGGAATCTTAACAAGATGAGTTTATTGATTATAATTAGCTAAAATATCTCATTATTATGTGGTAAGCATTTATCGTCTTATTGGTAATTATATGATTTGGAGGCATTAATTGTTTTATTTTATTGTAGAACCCCGCAGACTCGCGTACAGTATAGCGTTACCAATTTCCTGACTATACAATTGCATCCGTCTGAAAATTAAATTTGAAACGTTTGAATTGAATGAATTGAATTTTCTCCGATAGAATTTGAATAGAATAATAAGGTTCGTTATAATTTTATTTGGTTTCAAGAATTTAAATTAAATAAGAAATGCGTATATTATATTGGGTCAATATATTATTATATGCACTGCATTGTGTACATACTACTTTTAACTTTTTATCAGTTATTTGACCTAGAACAATATAGGGTATCTTTTTATAGACCTTTTTAAAATGGAATCTGTGTAATTGCTTGGATAACGACAAAACCGCATGGCAGTTCACGATTTTAATGGTTTTATTTCCTGTGTGTTAAAACGCACTTTACTAAAGTATTTAGCTCGTTAAAAACAACTTGAATAATTTACAAAATACATTATATAATAGTATAACATAACATATTTTTGACAAAATTAGTTTGAGCGTTTTCACTTAAATCCGATGTGCTTCTATTATAAAATAATGTATCAATTGCCAGTTAATACTAAGCATCTGAATATGCTTAAATT